ACCTAGCTCCAAGGATTCCTGCCGATTGCATCCAGCCATCTAATGTGCACCGTGATAGCGAGCTACCTAGAATGGTGGCCACGTTGCACACCTGACTGGTAGAATTCAATCTGCACACTAGTAACTAGTGTCCAATCAAAAGCAGCCCTACAGGTCAATTACGAGCCCGAATAGCTCAGTGGTAACGTCTCTGACTGCAGCACTAGGTGACACGAGTGCGAATCTTAGATAGGACATGAGTTCCTTCAAAGTTGCAGATACACCTTGCTGACGAGTGTCAACCTGCACGAGACCTAAGCCCAAGGCTTCCTGCTGATTGCTTCCAACCATCTAATATCATAGAATGTTAGATTTAGTGATATTTGATTTAGCATTATAGTAAGCCTTGGAAGGGAAACGTTTTCACCGTGTGAAAACAGTAACTCATTTTGACATTGGAAGCGTAGAATCTTCGCAGGATTGCTCGTTTTGTTTACAAACTACCAATACTTCAAATAGTGTATATATTTTCAAGTTACTTTGAGCAGTGTAACAGAGCCACCTTGCACTTCGGTGCCAAGTTCTATGTTGAATCCAGCAGCAGTAACCATGGGAACCGTCTAGCTTTTATTATTTGGCCGGAAACAGTAGTTGATAGCTTCTTTGACTTCCTGTATTTGCTTAACTATATTCGCCTTGATTGTTTTCCATTCTAGTTATTACAAACCCGTATTTCACGCTGAGGAAGGCGGTAGCTCAGCGTGGGCGAAATCTTAGCCACCTCCGTGAAAGTGGCTTCATAACTTTATCTATTGACTTTTCCTTAATACCCAGAACTTTATGCATAGTTTCAACACTACTTACCGTATTAAGTCACCGATCACCGCGGAGTGAACGAAGACGGCTCTGTTATTTCCATATCTTCCACCGTCTATGCTATTGCCCCATACCGATCAAGTGGGTTGGAGTGGTGCAGTCGCTTTCCCTTTAATTACGTAAAGTCTGAATGAAACATTTCATAGTATATTTTATATACGATTATTTTACTTATTGAACTGAGCAGGATGAGATGACGTCATCTATCTTACTTCGTTGGTTCTTTCCAACCACATATGATTTTAATATAAGTACGCAAAATATTAAAATACTTCAGTTATTGATCATAAAGACCACTAATTCCACGTGATCAATGTAAAGGAATAAACTTTGTTGTTAAGCTTGTTAGCATATGCAGAAATGATCACAGGGATATCCCAGAATTAGGAAAGGTTGACGTAAAGTGAATAGTGGTGAGAATCCAGCAACAAATCTGCGTAATTTGGAAATTCCCTCCACACATTTAGGGGAAACGAAAAAGTTGAGAGGAATTTATTCCTTTTCAATCAGTTCTTCCTTATAGGCAGTACAATAAAGCATGTCGGTATACTGACGCTTCCTAGACTATATGACTTACCCAGGGTTCATAATGGCGGCTTGCCACGTAGACCAGTCCTAGTTCACCATACTATTCAACTTTTACAGCCGTTGCACAATAAACTCATAAAAATTATTCTATCTTGTTTTCGGGGTGTCCTAATGACTAAACGAGCAGACGGAACAATATGAAGACGATTGCATCGGGAACCTACGTCAACTGGGCAACGTACCACCTGAGTTTTGTCCCCCCACAATACAAACGTAATTTGCTTAGGTGTTTGGTTCACTGTTTTAGAGTTATTTACTCAGATGAAATACTGAACGAAGAACTTGGTAAAAATTCGTGATCTACTAAACAGAAACGGATATCCGATAAGATTTTTAAACACACGGACTTAGCAAGTAAACAGTTCAGAAAAAAATCAGTATTCCTGAGATTGAGATTCACGGGAGATGCTTATAGCAAGATTTTATCAAATCTGAGTAGGGCCTTCTAAAGGACTTTTAACGCAGCTGTTTATTCACTCGCCAACCAATACTTAGTTCAAGAAATAAGAACACTGGCTTGTTTCGCATCTTTCATATTTATTTACCAGTTTAACTGCTCTTCCGGAGTTGGTTACATTGGGCGTACTACCAGGCAAGTTCATGGTTGAATTTCTGCACACCTTCCCTACTGGTTTGGCAAAGGTTTGAATAAAGCTATACGCAACTCAATACTAGCTCTTCCCGTCGATACTGCACACCAAGTTGACTTTAATAAAGCTTTGAAAGGTACTTATCGTATTTCACCCAACCTTTCGCATTGTCTACGAGCATGGCTTCAACGTACAGCATAGACAGCCAGAATTTATATGAACTACCCAAATCCTGCTTTCAAAAGAAATTTGTGCAGTCCCTTTCTTTCCCGTGGCCAACCACATAATTAAAGCTAGAAAACCGATAACTGATGAAACTTGAGGCTGGTTGAAATTTAAACAGGTTGATATTACCAGTCCATTAGGTTTCGTCCTACTGGATAATTGTATGGGTTACCGTCAGACATGATTGAACCACGCGATCGATGAAACAACATTTTATAAGAGGCATGTTGACACATTTTGTATACGCATGGCTCCAATCTGTGTGACCTACGTAACAAGGCAAAAAATAGTTCTGATTACGGAATGTGAACAAAGTGAAAAGTTCCGCCCTCTGGAACTCGTACCCGTACGTACTGTAGACGGAATCTTGTAAAGGTATATTCATCGTAGAAAATTATGGAACGAACTGTGTCCGAATTTTAGTAGTTTTTGACCAACAAGTTATACAGAATGTTTGGTAAAGACATTGTTCAACAACACTCAAAAAATCTGTTCAAAAATGACTTTGTCATTATTACTGACGTATTTGCGGAACAGTAGATATCCTCGAAAATTTATTGATAGACAAAAGAAAACCGGAAATAAGGGCGGAATTTAACAGTTGAGAAGAAGCTTGGATTCAGAGTGAACTAATTTATTTGGTAGAATGAAATATAGAATAAATGCAGCTCTCAGGCAAATCTACGTAGCTGCATTCAACCGAATAAATTGCTCAATGTTTAGGGTTGACAAGTGCTGCTTTGATGTTATCTCCAAATGCATAAACCAATTTATATTTACATGCCAAAACAGTACATCGGACGAACAGAAAGAAGGATTTGTGACCACATATCTGGGCTTGTCCCAAGAAACTGCAGACTAAAAGGTGCGGAATTCCGCAGCGATGCGGTCGCTCGCCAATTAATAGGTAGATGTATTAAAATGATCAAAGTTCAGGTTACTTCCACATTACTACATATCTCTGAAGTGGTTAGAAATAAACTTATGCATTTCGAAAGAAATTGTTGTTACTCTCGACATGGTAATGAATATATTTCAGGGTTTTGTGATCACTTAGTTTTATTTTCTGTCCACACCGTTGACTAAACTAAACTTTGTTTAATTTGCAATTAAAAGTGTTCTCTGAGCTGGTTGGTTTAGTCGCGAAGCTTTCGTCGTCCTTCCGGACAACATCTTCAGCGCTAAATATGTTGTCCGGAAGGACGACGAAAGCTTCGCGACTAAACCAACCAGCTCAGAAAACACTTTTAATTGCAAATCATCCACCTGAGCTACAAATCTTCTCTATTATTTTAAACTTTGTTTAAATAAACTATATAACTCCTACGTAGAAGTAATGTCAACTTTTCTTCACTATTCATTTTACGACATCCTTTCCTAATTCTAGGATATTCCTGTGATCATTTCTGCATATGCTAACAAGCTTAACAACAAAGTTTATTCCTTTACATTGATCACGTGGAATTAGTGGCCTTTATGATCAATAACTGAAGTATTTTAATATTTTGCGTACTTATATTAAAATTATATGTGGTTGGAAAGAACCAACGAAGTAAGATAGATGACGTCATCTCATCCTGCTCAATTTGTTTCAATAAACGAATCAAATAAATTTGACTGGATGTTATTGCGAATACCGAAAAACAGTCTACTGTACTCTACGTTACAAATTGAATATGAAGTCAGATCCTGAGTTTAGGGACTTTCGGATGTGATCCCCATATAGTACAAGAGCAATATAAATGTTCTAGCTAAAGCAGTTTCGATTTATTCATTTCGTAGAACGTACTGACAGTCTTGAACATCTGCTGAATAGTCACGGTGAGTACACACCTAATAATAGGTGTGTAGGACATGAAACTTGATGAAACAAAATGTGTGTGTTGAAGGAAGTCAAATGGTATGAACGATTACAAAACTATCATAGTGATGATTTTATGTAAAACATAATACATGTTAATAGTTATTTCTATTTCAGATAATGCCTACTAAACATCGGTTGAGTTCTAGCGCACAAGAGGGTGAATATGAAGTAGAAGACTTGATCGATATGCGAACAGTCAATGGGGAACCAGAATATCTAATCAAATGGAAAGGACATCCGCCGTGAGTAATTTTATTATGTCTGAATTCTCAGAACAGTTCCAAAAACACATGGGAGCCACAGTCCAATTTAAATTGTCCGATTTTGCTCAGACGCTTCTTAGATAAACACGTTATTGGCAAGCCGACAATAGCTACTATAGTGAGAATTTACAATATTTCATGAAATATTTGCAGCCTAAAGGTACAGAACCATACGGATTTGATCGTGGATTGGCCCCAGACTTCATCAGTATGGTAACGAAGAAGGATGATGAATTATACTTCTTGATCAAATGGTAATTTTATGCTCATATTATTCATCAGTAAATATTAGGAAAGGAAGTCAGGTGCGTGACGTTGTACCAGCTGCCCAAGCGAATATCCGGTGTCCACAAACTGTTATTAGATTCTACGAGAGTATTTTACACTTTACCTGAACAAAATGACCCATTGTAATCTTTGTAAAAAGAAATTATTACATATTACTTATTTGCTAAAATCAAATTTTTATTTGAAAGGAAATTAGATCGATTGTCATAAATACCCTAGGACCAAAGAAACTTCTGTACAAAAATAATGATCAATAATAATGTTAAAGGCAGATAAGTCTGATGAATATGAAAAGTGTACGGGAGGATATTCTTTGCAAATTTTTGTCTAGACTTGATTAAAGTGAGCAATGAGATCGTCTTTTTCTTGACTGCCCATCTCATGTACCAATTCTGCATTTTCCTTTGCTACCTGCCGCATCTAAGAAACGAAACAGTTTTTTTTAAATAACGCGTATATAACATGATAATTAAATGAATTTTACAATAGCTTATGAAAAACACCTGTAGCTTATGCTTTTCGAACTAAATTGACTAAAGGTTTAGTTGAAGCTGTACATTTTAAGTGGAAAAAAACAAGAGCGAGATTTTTGTAGCAAATTTAAAGTGAAATGAACTTCAGTTTAATAATCTCATGCGTTTGTTTTACATTTTTATGACACGTCCGTAATGAACTTTGCTACGTTCCTGAATGCCACAACACTAGGCAACTCTTTAGACTCATCAGGGAAACGGGTGGGAGAAGGCAAATCATAAGTGAGACTATTTCTGAGAAAAATGGCTCCTTAATTAGCTCTCAGGATAGACGCCTTGAACGGTGGAAAGAACACTGAGGAACAATTTAACTTGCCTACAGCCACACTGAGCCTCCCTGCCATCCAGCACACACCCGAATGGAATATAGACACTGGCCCGCCGTCTGTATGTGAGGTCAAAAAAGCTATCTGTAATTTGAAACGAGGCGAAGCGGCAGGACCCGACGGAATTATTCCGGAGGTGTTTAAATATGGGGGTGACATACTAGTATATATAAATACGACTGTACAGCTTGAAAATGAAGTCGTTGAAAAGAAATTTCTTCGCTGAACAAAAACTGTGTTTTTACTTATGAATAAATGGGTATTTTTCGTGATACTAGTATATAGTTTAACTAAGGTACTAGGTAACGTCTGGGAATCAGAGACGGTTCCATCAGACTGGGGTAAGTCACTTATTATACCAATATTCAAGAAGGGAGACAAGTCCTCATGTGATAATCATAGAGGAATCAGCCTAACGAACATAGTCTCTAAAATCCTAGGCTCAGTAATCATGAACAGACTAAGCCGAACTCGGAGGAACAAACGAGGGAAAATCAAGCGGGCTTTAGGCCAGGTAGAGGGTGCATAGATCATATCTTCACTCTCCGACAGATCCTAGAACATAGACACACTTTTAGGCATCCAAAAATTGCCATATTTCTTGACTTGAAAGCGGCCTTCGACTCCGTGGATCGAGAGGTACTATGGCAATGTTTGACTGTGAAGGGAGTACCAAGAAAGTACATTGCACTAATCAAGGCACTCTACTCAAACTCACGTAGCCGTGTAAGGGCCTATGAGGAACTGTCATCTGAATTGATAACAACCAGTGGTGTCCGTCAAGGATGTCCACTTTCCCCTTTTCTGCTTAACTTCATCATAGAGATGCTAATGGAAGTATCCTTAACTGAACTTAACGACTTAGGAATCGACTTGTTACCAGGGAATAGTCTTATGGACTTAGAATATGCAGATGACATAGTCCTGTTAGGGGAGGATGCTGACAAAATGCAGAGTCTTCTGAACACCTTGAGCAGCAATCTTCGTATGTTTGGCATGCGATTCGCCCCTGTAAAATGTAAGATGCTGCTACAGGACTGGACTACGTCAACTCCTAGCTTAGTGATAGGGAGTGAAGTGATAGAACATGTTGACCACTTCACCTATTTGGGAAGTTGTATCAGTACCAACGGATTGATTGGTGACGAAATCTCAGCACGGATCCAAAAAGCTCGGGCTGCTTTCGCTAACGTACACCGTCTCTGGCGTAGGTGTGATATCCGGCTATCAACCAAGGGACGTGTGTACTGCTCAGCAGTTCGCTCCGTCCTTCTCTATGGCTCTGAAACATGGCCAATACGAGTTGAAGACACGAAAAGGTTGTCTGTTTTTGACCACAGATGTTTACGATCTCTTTCTCGCGTTAGGTGGTATAATAAGGTAAGTAATGTTGACGTTAGGCGTAGTGTTGGGCAAAGAGGGAAAATCAATCGAAGAGGCTATAAAGTTACATAGATTGAGATGGCTAGGTCACGTGCTGCGCATGCCTAACCATACTTACTTACTACGGGAGGATGAGCCGGCTTCATGAACATCTAGAATCATCGCTGCCCAGGCGCGGCGATCTGATGCAAGGTTTTGCGACAGGGTTATCCAATTCTTGTTCCACAGACGGAGTCCGTAGACGGTTTGTAGCCCCAGGCACTCGTTTGTAAGAGAGTTCATGAAGTTTCATGGGAATTCGGTACGAGTGATGTCCCCAGAATCTCTCGGCCTTTTGTTTGAGAGTGCAGCTCTAGCCTTTACACAACCAAGTGTGACCTGCAAGGCAGTAGGAGCGGAGTAGGGAGTCCACTATCCATTGGCAGTCGGTGACCGGAGTTCGGTTCATACGCCTTTTTGAATGGGGCCAGACATCCAACAAGCCCCTTGTCCATACGTCTGCCGGTGGGCTCCAGTGAGCTTCATACGCCAGTCGTTGGAGGTTTGGAATCAGGGTTTAGCCATCTCCCCTAGACTGTCATCCAATGGACAGTCAACCCGGTGAAGAGCGCCGGGCATCCTTCGCCCTCTCACTTTGGTGAAAAACACCTCCGCCACGTGAAGGCAGTGAGTAGGACTTCCTCAGGAGAAGCTATGTAAGACGCCCGGTCATATGGGAGCATTTCAAGAGGTGTGCGGAGGGGTGGCCAACCCGCAGCGCAAGGCACCCACTCCCGACCATCCTGAGGCTTCGGAGGCCATGCCTAACCATCTCCCCCGACGGGCATTACTAGCTGATATAGGTGCAGGTTGGAAAAGAGTAAGTGGTAGCGAAACAAAAACATGGCATCAATCCATGACAGTTAAACTGAGTCAGGTAGGGAGATGCAGACTTCCGGGTTGGGGCCCTCGGGACTCTAAGAATCAATGACTAGAGACAATAGGTGACATGGCTCAAAATTGTTGTCAATGGCTTACGCAGATGTATTCAGTCTCTGTAATCTTTCATATTCCTTTCTACCATTACTCATTGTGTTTCACTCTTATACTTGTCAAAACTCTATTGATTCTCTTCACTCATCTTCTTGACTACCTTTGTGTGCTATTTGGAACGTGGCAACTCGAACTGCTGCACTTCGGTGCCAAGCTCTATGTTGAATCCAGCCAGCCTAAATGCCACTCAGAAGGGAACGTGAGGTAGTCACCATGTCAAGGCTAAGCACTCAAGTATTGAAGGCTTGTTTTTTGTATTTACGGGAAGAAACTCCAGACAGACAGTTCTTTATTCGGGAGTACGTGTTAACTGAAGTTAATGCGAACTTCCTGTGTAAGAAATATTTGCTATGCGTAAGTTACGCAGTGGATTTGCACAATCCCGGTAGGTTATACACTCGGAATGTATGTTGAAAATGAATAAGAATAATAACTTTCAATTGACTTAACTTACTTCATTTATCTGACTGATGTCAATTAGAGGTGCGTCTATGATTGATGCAGGATTACCAAAAGTCCTCGGTAAGAAAACTGGCAAAGGTGGTGGACCTAAGGGCTGTCGCGCAATATTTTCTCTGAAAAATGTAAAGCATAAAACCACAGAATGACAATAGATTCTTGATGTACAGGTCAAAACATACGTAGGGCTAAGAAAAGTTAACGTGTATGATTAGGTCTTTAAATACTTAGGGAGAAGTAGGCGTTTGCCTTTTAAGTTCAATATCTTACTTTCGCACCTTTTTTTGGTAATTCTGTATACGTTTTGGGATATCTATCTGCCTTTATTCTTTGATCTAAATTATCTTAAATATGCAATCAAGCTATGGGCAAAGACGATAATATATTACATTTCATCAATAAGTTTCAGCTCCAAACTTTTCGACTAAGGATTCTGTGACTCAGCTACAAAAAAACTTACACTTATTTACATATAAAAGGCGCTACGCTTAGTCGGCAGTATTCCGTTAAATTTAATCCAACACGTGAGGAGTGGGAAACTACAAGATTATATCTGATGCGGTAAAAATTAAGCACTAAAAACCTAGAGGTGAATACAGTACTTTTAAAGATCGTCAATTAAGTGATGAGATGGTAAGAAGTTGGACATACAAAGGGTTTTTTTTCTCAAGTGTTAGCTTGCAGAGATTTGACTGACTTAAACATTGGTCACGAAACTGACCTAATTTACAGGGCTCTTAAGCAGTACGCACCTGGGATTGAGCCGACGACCTTCAGGTTATGAAGCAAGCTCGTAGACCATCCAGCCCAGTGGCTGGGATGGAATCCAGTGGCCCATCATCTCTAACAGCTGTCCATTACTCTCTGGTTTTCAATGGTCCCCTAACGGAAGTCAGTTCGCGATCAGTCCTGAAATCTCATCTTTGCTTTACACATAAAATATCAATTTTATATACATAAGGTTACGTACAACACAGTTGTATAAAAAAGCCTGTACAAGTAGTTTTTAAGAGTCTGATTTAATGGATAGTCAAATATTGAATTCTGAGACCTTTATAAATATACGGAAGCGAGTTTTGAGTTCTAGAATGTGATACCCAATGGACAATTAACATTAGTCAGACAGACAGACAGACAGAGTCTATATTTCTTAGACTGTTTAAATCGCTTTCTAACTGAACAAAGTGAAGCATCAGTGAGTCGTCATTCGTGAACTTTAATCTGATTCAACACATACACAAGTGACAACTGTATGGCTTTTCAACGCTTTGTTGGGACAACAAGCAAAAACAAATGTGACGTCCCCAAGTATCACTGATTACCTCGAGACATTTTTCGCTTTTAACATAATCTACTAATAAGTAGGAAGGGGTTAAACAAAACTTACGCATAGTATCTTGATCGTTCAATATGCTCTTGTGAATCCAGAGGATTGTAGTCAGTTGCACCAGCGTCTAGCACTTGACTAAATTAGGAATTTAGACAAAGTAAACTCAACAAATAGAATAGGCTTGACTGATTGTCAGAAAAAGTAAATGATATTTTATCATAGTGGAAATTTAAAAAAAATAGTCGGACGTTTTGAAATCCACAGTCCAGACGACGGCTAAACTTTTGATCGACGAAGATGGCACTCCGCGAAGTCTATATACTTTCGAAATGAATTCTACTGTAGACATTATATCACTAATAAATTATTTGACAACAGAATATAATGTAAACCTGTTTCAGTGTTGTTTCATCAGTTTCACTAACTTAGCATTCATTATCAAGATATAGAGATAAAACTCAGATGTTTTCGCGATTTGCGCAATTAGTTTGCAATTTACAGGGATCATAATATGTGATCTGCTTAACACCATAGACGGTAATCTAGAAACTGAGCATAAATGCATGAAACTATATGTACCGCTGATTGATTGAGGCGAGCAATGGTATGTCACTCACACCAACTAGTAGTGCTTGTTATCCAGATCGAAGTGATTTAAAAACCAGGTGACTGTTTCGTGGTGTGAGTGGTATACAACTGCTCATCTCAGTCAATTATTCGTACGTAGTTTTTTTTCACAGGTATTGATTTCTCGAAAATTCTATAAATACTTAAAAAAAGTAATAACTCCCCATAAAGGTTGCTTCAGAAGTAAACCTCGACACTATAAGAAAAGCATCTTCAAATGAGCCATCCCACATATGACTCTGATATTCATTTCGTAAGCAAATTAGTCATATAATACTAAATAGTGTAGCTGATGGAAATCTGTCAATCATATGTGCGCAGTAGGTGGGTAGTAATGCTAACCAGTAACTCTTCACCTAACAGCGAGAAATAAAGTGGAAGAGTTAAATGGATTATACTTTTCTTATTCTGGTGACTGAAACACATTAGTTACATTCTGTTCATAGGCATATTTATTACAAGCGAATATACATGAATTTCATAAAGAATGCGTAAATTACAGTCTAACCAACACAGCGACATTAAAATATGGTGGTTAGTGTTTATCATAGTTATTCTCATGGGTTATACACTACTAGGACAACAAGAATTCAGCAAACAGATCACCTGTACATATACATCATAATCATCATATAAACATATATAATATATAAAGCATAAAAGAAATCAAGTTTTATAAACCCACTTTTCAACCACCTTTATTATGTCGGTCATCATTGTATTGATGTCAGATTGAGGTTCAGTTGTAACATGATCTGGAGACACAAAACTAATAAAAAATAAGCAAAAGTGTCTTATCATACAGGTTAATTAATTTTTTTTGAACAATGCATCCAAATCACTCAAGTGTACTACACGACCACCACTCGCATTTCCGTACGGTTCGCAATGAGCCGCATCAATTGTGTGTGTGGGAGGGGGCGGTTGGTATTACTACTCGGTAGGCGGAATAGGGTTCAAACTCATGAACTTAGTGGTCGATAATCAACCTCGTAGACCAGTGAATCACACCAGATACCTAAATAAAGCTTATTACGAATGCAGATGCTGTAAACAGGTAAGATAACTACAGCAGACCAAACATTTTATTTCTTGATGTGCGTAAATAATTATAGAATGTTAGGCAACAAAGATCTGTACACAAATAGGCGTTCAGAGTTCGAGATCTATGAGACATAAACCCGTTACCAGTGAAATATTGTCTGCTGTGTACAAAAACATGAGCTGATGCATACAAAATGTAGATATACAAAAGTATTATCAAGAAAGAACATATTCACTTCTTATAACTACGAGCTTAAGGAGGAAATACAGTGGTCAAAGGCGTTACACTCTAGATTTGGTTACAATATGAAGAGGGCATAAAACATACTTTAAAAGTCTAGGTATTCCTTCATTTTTCTGAATCTCGACTATAAGAAATGAAAGTAATTCCCCTGCCTATTATTGTGATACGGATTTCAAAACATCCAAAGGTGTTGTGAATTACTCAACCCTATGGAAAACTGTAAATTACCATGTCGAACCTACGTATTTGTGGATACGTGGGTTTTCGAGATACAAATTCTTTTAAAAGACCAGGTTTCCAGTACACTGAGAGGCAAATGACGCTTTTCTTTTGTATAATAAGATTAGGCCAATAAGACTTAACAGTGGCAACACCTGAAGAACGAAACAGGATTAATTATTTTGAAAGGTCTCAGAAAAAATAACCTCACATTCTGTATCCTTTAAGTATCTGATGTTGGCATTTCGACATAATCTCATACAACCTAAGAGATGCATTGAGTAACATTCCTTCCGACACACATTCAAAAGTGACACTACTAGAAGTATACGGAGAGGTCTTAAGGTCAAGGCTTTGCCATTAGTGATCATCTATCATTATACTGAGGAAATGATTACCTATATTGTAATGGTTGATCTCTCCAGGTAGGTACACTCTTAAATAACAATACTGAGATTTAAAATGAGTTAATAAATGACTGAAGTAAACAACTAAGATCTGACATACCTTCCATAAGGTGGTTGTCCTCCATCATACGAAAGCTGGGGACTTGAAATCAGCCTTTGTCGTTCAACATTTTCTTCCTAAATGAATATAAATTATGGCATTAATCACTTAAATATGACAATAAGGTATATTTAAAGCACTACCCGATAAGCTATATTATACCTGACAAACTGATCAACATAGAAATCTGAACACATTACATCAGTACAAGTTGAGACACTTCAAAAATGCTCATAAGAAAGTATAGAAAAATTTGATAAAACTAAAGAGGACAAGGATGTACGCAAAGGATAATAGTTAGACGAAGATTGGTGAACATTTTCAGACACTGTGATAAGGAGTAACCATATAAGTACTTTTGTCAACGATTTAGAACCATGTCTTATAACCTCAAACTATTCATTCTTGGAATCTCACAAACCCAAGCCAATCGGTCCACATATCCCAACCATGGTCCGAAACAACAATATATAACTTCATGGATGTCATGTTTCCGTTTGACCACCTCTACCGTAATTCCTTTCCCAACTAAGTCCTATATCAGCTAATATTGTTTGTCAAGAAGCTCGAGATTCATAACATCTCCTAGATACCCCCATTGAAGTGGCTTCACAACCCCATCGAGTGTCAGAGAGGAGTGTATACTTAAATACACAGCACTAACAACAAGGGTGAATTCAGATTATTACTGCAGACCATCTGGTGCAAACCGGTCACAAAGTCAGCGTAGAAGAATCCTCCTCTATAATATACCGGGTGCCTAACAAATTACCAAAATCGTTGAAGCACCGCATGCTCCAAACAACAGAGGTTATTGCAATTCGCCTCAAACAACCAGTGCTCTATGTTCAAAAGAAACAAGTCCAGCCCCTACTACTGCCATGGCCCTCAGTAGAAACTATAAACTCATGAATTTGTACTATTATCTTTCATAATCCTTCTGACATTCAGCTTATTTTATGTTGATGCTGTTCAGCTGTAATCTATCAATATTATTGATTTGATTTTATTTAAACATTAATGTCGTTCATAAGACTAATTCATTCATTATAATGTACATATAATTGTAGAACCTGATGATGAATTTATCGAAAAGAGTACTCTTTGTTTCGTGTCCATTCTTCTGAAAAATATTTTGTATCCCTGCTTAGATTTTTGTCAACAAACGGTGCATTAGGGCTGGTGAAATTTCCCAAAGAAGTGAAATGGTGAACACTTTTAACCATGGAGTTGAGAGTCAGTGCAAACCAGTTCTGTAACATTATCTTACGTGAATCATATGCTGATAACACTCAGATTATCGTAAATGATCATATAAATACATGTGTAAAACTTGGGTACTGTAGTAGTAGGTAATTCCGTATTAGTTTGTTTATTAGATATATCACACAGTGAAACAGTATTTTTTTCTGGATAACGTTTCGAACACGATTTATTGTTCATAATCATATCAATTATAATCACACGACTTCGAACACGTGTAACAGAAATGATCCAACACCTGTCCCAGATATCTGGAAAATTCTACTAAGCCTACAACAAACAGAAGAAAACAAAGAAAACTATAAAATTCAAGTTTCGAAGTCGTGTGAATATAATTGATATGATTATGAACAATAAATTGTGTTCGAAACGTCATCCAGTAAATAATACTGTTTCACTGTGTGATATATCTAATAACAAAACTGATATGGTATCGTGAAAGGTGTTCAGAAGACTGTGCTCGATCAGCGTCTTCACTTAAATGGTCTCCATTAACTGGGTACTTCAGATTAACGTGACTTAACCAATAATAACACGTCAAAATCGACCATTAGTACAATTCCACTAAGGGAAGAATTTATCGTGATAGTCTTACAGTGTTATACAGTAATATTTACTCATGACCAAGTTTCATGCACAATTTATTCCTCATAATCATCTCAAGGTACTCACTCACACAACTTTCCAGCTTCGTTTATATAATTCCATTATTTTCCATCGCTTGATTTGATTGGTAGTAGTATTTTCCATATTTCCGTTATGAGTGATGAATCATTCCTATTGCATATGTTGGATGTAGACTTGATGAACAAGGATTCAGTAATCAACCCCTCTCTCCACCTACCTAGATTACTTTTTGGAATTTTATCCCTCTCCCACCCTATGGTGTGTTAATGCATGTAGTGCAATCGCTGAGTTTTTTTCCCAAATAACTTATCTTCTCGGGGTCAACCATTCTTACCTTAGCTAAATTCTTATGTTCCGACAATCTGACTACCGCCGACCTACTAGTTTGACCTAGGTCGTTAACCTTACAGTCATTGCAGGGTACTTTGTAAATTATATTATTTTGTCTAATTGGGACAACTGGGTCCTTTAGCCTAGAGGGCTTTTGCCTGAGTGGTTTGTAGGTTTAAATGACACTCTAATCCCTGCTTTATTAAGAATCCTACATAGGGTCTCAGACTGTCCCCTCCTTATATGGTAGATGCCTTATATTCTCTCTTATTTATGTTATCATACTAGTTTCACCATTATTTTTACTTTGCTTGTGACCTTTTTGATATTCCTAATGCATTTTATAGGATAGTTATTAAACACCAACGCCTCTGTTTTATTTCATCATTTAGGTCTTTTTTTGTGCTACTTAGTGCTACTGATCGGTTTGTTAGACACTTAACTAAACCTGCCTTAACAGTTAACGGATGAGACGAATTAAAGTCTAAATATCTATTAGAATATGTTAGTTTTTAATAAATGCTAGTGTGCAGTTTACCTTCTTCTATTCGTTCTATTTTACAATCTAAAATAGCTAATTATCCTTGTTCATTTTCCGATTCAAATGTGAATATTATTCCCTTAATTAGTGAGTTTATATGTGTCAGGAAGCTAGAGATATGTTCTATTTTTAACACTGTGAAAGTGTCATCCACATATATCTACCATATTTTTGGATTAAATGTATTAAGAACAATATTTTCCCAGCTGTCCATTACTGAATCCAACATATGCAATAGGAATGATTCATCACTCATAACGGAAATATGGAAAATACTACTACCAATCAAATCAAGCGATGGAAAATAATGGAATTATATAAACGAAGTTAGAAAGTTGTGTGAGTGAGTACCTTGAGATGATTATGAGCAATAAATTGTGCTCGAAACGTCATCAGTAAACATTACTGTATAATACTGTGAGACTTTATCAAAACAAATTCTACCCATAATGGAATTATACTCTATCACAGTGTACAAGTTTTATTCTTAAATCGATTATTAGTACATCTATAATACAGCTGAATGAAAATGGTGAGCGTGGGTGCCCCTGACGAAAAACTACTTTAGACGATGTTTTCCTTTAAGCCCTCTCATCGCTACGTGAGTTTGAGTAGAGTGCCGGGATTTTCACATCAGATATTTTGAATATACCCTCCCAAGACAGATATTTTACAATACTTTCGCACCAACGAAATTAAATGCTGCTTTGAAATCAAGATATAAAGTGCCAGGCACTATCAGATATATCTATTTCAGAACCTTTTGGAAACTTAAGAACTATGAAACCGAAAGTCTTAAACAATATATGTCAAGTTAAAACAAGATTTGTTATCTTCCTTACAATCTGGGGTCTACACAGACAAAAGTTATTTGTGTAGGACTTGGCATACATCACAACGTTAGGAGGAAGAAAATAAAGTGCAGTACATAGGGATTTGCAGAATTCCTATAGAGGGACAACATTTCTGCTACTGCCATGAAATAACTCAAGTTTCCAGTCAATGACATCAATTTACGCCAAGTTATGTACCTAAATTCACTAAAACGACTAACGCCTAAATCGGATACCATAACTTCTCATTACTAACATCAAAGGTATTGGGCGTCCATTAGAGAAGGCTTTACTGAAACTACATATAAATATGGGAAGTCTGTATTTCTAGCGCATGACTCAACCACTGAAGGCTTAGAAAATTAGATTAAAATATATTGTGATTATGAATACAAATGACCTACAATCAACAGACACTTGACAGTTTGGCACTCAGCCTACGTATGTTATGCTTTTACATATCAGTAATAAGAGGGTGGACAAAAGTGAAGCTGGATATAACCAAGATAACTCAAGTAAAATAAATCCGCACTTCCTTGAATATACACAAAACTTCGCCGTGGACATATATACCACAAAAAGACGAACAAATACTAATTTAGTCTACGCACAATCAGTCTTTCGATCGATAAACTGTTTCATGTTGTCTTTTCATTTATCCGCTTGTAGTATGCACCTATCTGCAAGCAGTACAACATCAACAATTGTCTGCATGGCATAGGATCACAGAATTAGACAAGAATCTCTAGAAATGCAAATGATGCTAAGCAAAATATAAGTTATGGCAAGATTTATAGTGTCCAATTCTAAGGAGCATATACACATTAGTGAAGCTAAATCCTCCCAACTTAACTAGCCTATACACACTTCAGTTTACGTTACTTAATGTTAACATATTACAAGTTTTAGGAATTTTATTGAAATCGAGAGTATTTATAAAAGTGCGCTGTTTCAATGTTGCAGGTAAAAAAACATTTTTCCATACAGTAATTTAACTGCGAGTTGATCAGTCCTCGGAAAGTTTCAGAAAAATTGGAACCTAGAGAGTATCTTAACCTAAAACAAAACAACCAAGCAAATTATTTGTCCCATATAGGAATTATTTTTTAGGTCATAATTGATCTGAAGAGTTTGTAATATTTATGAACAGTGTATGTGTTGTTCAACAGCTGACTGCATGTTAACAAACCTATGGAATGAAGGCTGATGGCACTACTTACCTAATTAAATACTGTTAGGTGGAAGGTTTAAACATGTGACGCACTCACTGTAATTCAAATACTAATGTTAAAGCACAATGTCGACGCAGGTAGAGGAACATTCACACATATGACTTACCGATGGAACTTTAGCCAATAAGACATAGCTACAACGACTCGATAAGGATACCTAGCACATTCCATTAAGTATTAATTTTGTATTAAGTCAGAAATATTCGGACAACTGGGGTGAGCATCTATAATTACCGCGAAATGTGCACAACATGTAACGTAGAAAATACTTGCTCAAGCTTTTAAAAACTTAATATACGTATGTTAAGATTTCCACCAGCTAATACGTTTTGGCAGATAAATTTGCTAAATGAAGCAAACTTCTCTACAGTTCAGCACACAGTCCGCAACTGACGAGGTCTACACTCAGTTCAACATATAACCACCACCAAATAACATCCAGAGTTTGGATAAACTAGCGAAAAATGTTATGCATATCAATGTAATCCAGAGGCGAAAATACTTTAGAATTGAAAGTAAAAAATAATGACGATCAACTCCAATTGTCTTATACTTACTTCCTCATCTTGTGAATTGGGGCAAAGACCACAGCACCGGTTTCCCATACGTCTAAAATATTATACGACTGTATGAAATATTACAGTAACTAAGAAAAATAAATAAGTCTTTTAAAAATGGCTTTATTTAATTTATTGAACATGTACAATAAGTATATGAATATTTAAGGATTGGTGGGTCCACCTAATGTCCGTATCTAAAAAAATGAAGTATGCCTTAGTAAAAACATACTTTTGTAACTCCCATTCACGATTATCCAAGGGGCAAACTTGTCGTGTTTTTAGCCATCTTGATATACAGTGAAAATGAAAGGCATGCTTGAAGACTTAATTTTTGAATTTCAACTCACATTACAAACTCCCCAAGCCACGGTACACTCTTCACTTGTAGCTGAAGCATGATTAGCCTGACATTCAATACCTAAAATACATGGTATCGATAAGCAATGCGACAAAAACAAACATAAATCCATTATGTGGTTACGGCAGATTGCACAGTTATCAACTACAATATCCCAGGCCCATAGTGCAACCGCATACCACTTTTTTATTTCAAAACGCTTCTTATTCTCATTGGCTGATGCAAGTGGCCCAACATCGTCTACTTCCATTTCTGACATAGCGCGCTAATTACTGGGTTGAATTGACCGCTCTTTGCTTTCCAATATCACATACCTCAAAGGTCTATTGATTATTTGGTGCTCGCGTTCGGTATTTTAGTATAGTTCGCGATTATCTGAAATCTGCCAACTTAAGCAAAAGGCCAATCGAACGATTTTGGGCAATAAATCAGACTCGCCACATAGTGAAAACTTCCGAGAATTTATTTGAAGGGATTTTGTTTGATTGGTTGGAGGATTTCATCGTGAGCTGGCATCAGTTAGAGAGCCACTGAAAAGCCTGGGGATGCTGGACAGCCGTTTCGTCGTAGTTTGTGACTGCTCAGTAGTACGCATCCACGGGGGTTCGAAACCAGTCCTTTCTGGTTACAGCAGTGTACTGTAGGTCAAAGGTGAGGACAGTTACGCATAGAAGACATTGTGAATCAGATGCGCTACATATCGTGAATTGGCAGAAGCCACTGGATTGGGTCCCAGTGGCATATTGGCCTATGAGCTCGCTTTGTAACCAGAAGGCCATGGGTTTGGACCCCGCGGGTGTATACTGAGGAAGAGTCCCAAACTGCGACGAAACGGTTGCCCAGTACTCCCCGCTAGTTTTCCAATGGCTCTCTGACATAGTGACAGCAATAGCTGGACAGAAAATTTTAATAAAGACGAAAAACAGTTCATGCACATCATCTGTGTCTTTTAGCTTATGTCTGTGGCTGGTTTTGGCGGTTATTTCACGGTACAGACAAATGTAAAAATAAAGACCCGATTGAAAGTTGCCTTGAGTACCCAAAACGTGTGATAAAAGCAGTTTTTACTGCCACGCCATAGCCCTCATTCTTCAGATCGCATGGGTCCGAAAACTGACCCCCCTCAAATCTATGGCGTACTTAGAGGGGAAAGGAAGGGTTAAGTGAACATATGTCTATATATATATTCGGAAACACTTTTACAGCTGGTGAGAGAGAACTAACTCATGTGACTCCAAGGAGTCTAAGCAGTTTGTCAATTAACTTGAACCTCAGCCGCTTCATTGTCGATAACAACTTTGATTGTCTCCGCAGATTGAATTACGTGGTGATGAATATAATTTTCAGGAAACGAGAGCTCGGAAACTTCCTTCTGGTTTGGTCATTTCTAACCATGTTAGCAGGCCACTTAACATAATCATCCTATTTGTGTTCGTTTGTATTAAAATCGGTGGCTTCCTTTGTGTTGAAAGTTTCTGCCGCCATACCAATGTGTTCTTATAACTGTAACTGTTTCATGCGTTGCTTTGATGCTTTTTTGAAGTGTCTCGGTCATTTTTCATCTGTTATTTATTTGTTATTACGTAGGAGTTTCTCATCTTAATGTTGGTTGCTAGTTCGGATAGTTATTTAATCTGGAAAAATCTGGAAGAGTCTACGACTACTTTATTGACGTTTATAGAACGCAAATATCTACAAGTCACTCTGGCGAAACAAGAGTAATCACACTGTTACATTATTAGGGTTTTCGGAGGACTTTAATTTCCATAGAAAAAGTTGCAAGATCACTGCTGAAGGAATTTAACCAGTATGCGTGTCATATTTATGGTTGCGTTACTGGTGATGAAACGTTAGTTTTCCGGTAATAATATTTTGGGCAGCGTTAACTGTCAGCGACTTTTCACAGCAGTATATGTCCAGTTAAATATAAATAGAAGCATTGTTGAAGCAACAGATAATTTTCAGTCCATGTGCGACTGAACATTTACCATGCGAGTTCACAATGAACGAAACTTATGTAAATTAAACAATACTTATCCATACCTGTTCAGCTGGTGTGGTACTACATAGACAAGGTAGCCTAACCAGCTGGTTTCCCAGACACTTGCCTATAGACGTATAAATGGTGAGACATAGCACTCCGTAATTTTCACTACCAGATAAAACGAAATTTGTAGGTAGAAACGATCCACAGTCAACCGGAACGACATGGAAATTCATATTTGGTGTATGACCTTAAGTCGAGAATCCACACCTTCTGGTTACTCATCTAGGAAATATGTACTACCTGAAAAGATACCAAGCCAATTTATCAGGACTTCCGTGCCCCATAACATCAGTCTGGCATTAATTCTACATCTCTGTAATTACCAAATTCTCGCAATCTTAGTTGCTGGAAGGATCCATAATGACCTGTTGGTATAAGTATTGCCAACACTAATGGGACACTGGCTGTCTTTGCAAGCCTAAATAAACAGCACTGTCTCGCGATACTAGTGACGAAGTGCTCAGTTAAGTAGAAGAATCCGTCCAGAAACACGTCCTGAATAACCTGTTAAGAGCATTGATGCTGATTTAAGTATTTTAACTGCTTTTATCGTTGTTATTCTTTAATTTTGATGTGAGTGTCATCATTCTAAAACCTGCTAATGCCATTTTGATATATTTGTTATTATTTGTGCTTGTTCTGGTTGATTCTTATTCCCAAAGCCTCTGTTACAGCCTCTGCACGAACAACGCTTTGAGAGAACGGGCCCACAATCTTCAACCAAATTAAAGACAATGCCAAACTGTTCTAAATAGAATTATATTGACATTGAAACTGTTGAAAATATCGCAAGGTTAATTGTTGAATTTAAGAAAATGCGTCAGACAGGAATGATGGGCCCTCACGCTATATCTGCGACCGCGCCGACTTCTAAGCTTGTCGTACTTTTCCGCGTGATTTACGTTTTTTATTATTTTCCTCCATATTCTCACTTTTTAGGTAATATTTTTAGTATTACTGATTAATATTATAAATAACAATGGTTTCTCCATCTAAACTTGCCTTTCTAGTCGTTGCATATTATCCTTGCTGCTTCTCCTGCTTGAAGTGTTACCACGTCGAATATCTTACTTTCGGTGCGTATATTGCAGTTGTGTTTTTTTAACATAACGTTAAGTAACCTAAGACTCATGTACCTGCAGTCCGGCAGCCCTGTATTAACTTTAAACAGAATGTCAATTAAGCTATCGAAGCGTCGTTCTTCACAGTCGGCTCAAGACTTCAACAAAAGACGCATATCTAGTAAGGCTAAACATGGTAACATTCCCCGTCACCGATTTGACGCAAGCTAAATAATTCAAGGCCAGATATTTTTACCTCTTAACCATTTTGTGTAATACGTGATTTTATTACGGGTACTTATAGTAGTACAGATTGCGAGGCTTATTATGGATAACTTCCAAGCCACACTGGATTTCCATAGAAGACTTGACACCGGCTCCTTTGATGTGGTCGGACCCACACTGTCCAAATGCCCCGCATGGAACTGTCAGTCGGAAGGTCCAAACGTACATATAGCCTCACTATCAGATGTATCTACTGGTTTCATTTCTTTTGGCACTGTCAAGAGAAACAATAACTCCCCTAAATGCTTTGTGACCATAGACCTTGACCTAGATAATCCTTGCAATCCGCAGGCAGATTTGCCATCATCTAGTTCTACTCAGGTGGATGCTTTTAGGCAAAGTACACGTGTGCTAGTACAGGAGTTCGACAGTAGCACCATCGCTACTATTGCCGATAAGGCCCTCCGTTGTAAAAATTTCCATCAGTCATCAACGTCACGTGGACGTCAACCTAACGCCGTATTTGAAAAAGCAAATAGGTGATTATTTACGCAACACACATCTATCCAAGCCAATAACCTGTAAAATACATTCTTCCATTACTCCATGATCTCTTACCTCTTGGGTATCTGATTAAGCCTGCTCGTTACCCTGACTATGATATATTACCGTCTTATGAGAGAATTATTGATAGTATTTCCACGGAGGTGATAAAGCGTGTTCATTGCATGTATAATGCAATCGTTTTCAATGTGCCATACAGTGCAAGCATTAAAACATTGATAAATATCAGATTCCTATTGTTCCTGCAAACGATTGCGTAAATCCGCATCCAATACATCTTGTCCAATAATGTTCAAATTTAATAGCGTTGTGAATGCAAGCCACTTTATAAACAACCAGCACCTTTATAGGAGAGTAAGCTGCTTTAAAAATATACGTATCATTTACGACAGGACGCCAATACAACCTCGTGCCAAGGAAAGTATCCCAGCAGATGAAATCAGTTGCCAAAAATACCTCCAGCTTCATTTATGTCGATACGAAACCGCCCTTAATCTTAAAAGAAGCACTTCACCCAGTTACCCCAAAATGAAGCTTGATACGGCTACCAATACTAAACTCAGTGTTTCTCCAGTTGTGATATGACCTGGAAAGCACTCACCTGCTGCAAAAGGTACTAGTAAAAATCATGCCTGCCATATTTAAAGTATCGAAAACCATTGTAATACCTTCCTATCTAATCCTAAGATTGTGATTAAAAATGTAAGGAACAGTATACCTGTGCTTGGCATACACAATCAGGTCTGGTTCGGCGTCCTTTACAACTCATGCGATTAAATCTTCTAAAACAACGTCTGAGGTATCAAATATAACTGGGATTAGTGAATCTTTCTCATTCCCTTATCCTCACCATATCACAGCTACCCAACTTCTACTATAAGGTTGCCTAATACTGAATTAACTATGCCCATATCCCGGGCACACAGCCGCATAGACTCAGTAGCCTAAGCTTTCAGCATTCTGTGCTTGCAGATCCACCCAACCAATGCTACTACCCCGCAAACACACTCTCCCGACATCAAAACCATCTTTACAACGCTCCAACTAGTCAATTTCCTCACCAAATTTTTGCTTTTCCGCACTCGACAGTGATGCCACCAATCAACATTATGTCGAAGAGTGTGTTTCCTCAACCTCAAATCTGTCTTCTTAAGACACCCTATAAACCCCAGTTTCCGTATGCTTGTCTGCATGCGCTCGTGAACTGAGCGATCAGCCACTGATATCCTCTTCCTTTTCGCAGGACCTCGACGAAAACTATGAACAATTTACATACCGAACACTTCATGTACCGGCCAGTCTGTTTTCTAATTTTCATTGAAGCTTGTCAGAATCACACCACCATCCCGTCAC